CCCCCACCCAATCACCACTCGTACCATTTCCACGCCGGGAGATATTAATACGCGTCCGAGTGCGCATGACGCACCGCCGCACATCATTTGGGTCGCGTTGTTCGATTATTATTTTTGGTGCACTTCTCAGAGTACCAAATCGGAGACGATCGTTTTTTTTTTCTGCAGTTTACTGCAATGACTAGGACGATGCCGAAAAAAAGATAAAATATTCCTCGAAAAATAACATTTCTTCCGACTTTTGGGCACACGACGACGACGATGATGACGCGAGTACACAACACGCACGGTACAGCGTGGTAATGTGTGGTATATAGGTGGTAGCAATAGTAGCAATAGTAGCAATAGTAGTAGTAGTAGTAGTAATACGTAGTAGTATTGGTATAGGTAGTAAAAAGCAAGGTTCCTCCACCGGTGCGATATCGCGGGCTGTCGTCTGCTGCAGGTGGTGTGGTCAGTCGGATTAAACTTCGGCTGTCCGCTTGGTGAGGTCCAACGGCGAAGGCGGCAGCGTGGTGGCCGTTGCCGCGGTCTCCGGGTCGTCGGTGGACGAGTGACGACCGCCGGCCGACTGGGGCGCGTGTGGCAGCGGCGACCTGTTGTACTTGGCGGCCGTGGTCTTCAGCGACAGGTCGATGGGGTATTCCTGTTCGATGGCCACGCCGCCCGGCGCCGGACTGGACAGCAAGAGATCGCCACCGGCGGCTGTGCGCCCAGCGGCCACGGCTGCGTGCCAGCCGGCAGCGGCCATGGACAGCGTGAGACCGCCGCCGACGAACGGCGTCAATCCGGGTCGGGTGACGGACATCGGGTAGTAGGGCGAGTGGAAACCGGAGACGGGCGACAAGCCGATGGTGGCCGACGACGGGCTGACGGACAGACGTATGCGTTTGGCGTCACCCGAACCGGTGGACGACGCGGACGGCGACGAGGACAGCTGACGGAACGCGGGAGGCGTACCGCCTGTCGTGCAGGTCGGGCTGCGGTGGTGGTGCCGGAGCACGGGACTGGCGGTCTTCCGGCGGCTACCACCGAGGTTGTCCTCGTCGTCTGGCATGGACGAGCCACCCGAATCGTCGGAAGCGGACGGTCGGCGCCGGCGACGGTGTCTGCYTTTTGGCGAATGGTCGTCACTGCCGTTGTTGTTGTCGTTGTGCTCGCCGTTGTCATCGTCATCGTCTTCGTCGTCTCCGTCACGGCGGCGGCGGCCACCGCAATCGTCGTCGTCTCCGTCTTCATCGTCGTAACGATGACGTTGCCGTCGATCAATGCTGTTGTTGTTGTTGTTGTGATGATGACGGTTACGGTGATGGTGGTGGTGATGCCCGCTGATGATCGCGTCGGCGGCTGCCTGGCGCCGGCAGGACGCGTCGTCCTGGACGGCGGCGGTCATCAGGGCCGCGGCGGCGCCGTAACCGTTGAGTCGGGCCTGCAGGAACTTGTCGGTGGTCAGGAAATGGTGACCGGGGTGCACCAGACCGGCTGGGTACAGCGGCGAACCGAACGGCGACGGCTGCGACTGGTGGTGCGGCGGCTGTTGCTGGTGCGGTGACGACCGATTGCTTCCGTTGTGGTGCTGGTGATGATGGTGCGGCTGATGGTGGCCRACGGCCGCTGCCGCCGCCGCTGCATTTTGGTCTTGCAGTAGACAGTGGATCTTGAACCAGTTGGACCGGCGGCCGTACCGCGACCCGCTCTTAGACATGCCCACCAACAGACATTTGCGCAGCCTGCACGCCTTGCACGACGTCCTGTTCTTCTTGTTTATCACGCACTCGCCGTTGTTCTTGCATTCCGATATGGAACTCAGGTTGTTGTAGGTCCGTCCAAAAAACGACTGTGAAAAAAAAAACGAAGTTTTCCGTTTAGATATAATCATAGACAATACAATTAATAGAGGTATAGTACCACCAATGCAATCTGTCATTAATCATTATTATCTATAATCCATGATTGGATATAACTTTTATTTGTAGCATTTATTTTGTTCGGATTTTTTGATTCCCAGTGTATTCTTATGGAATTTTAATATAGATACATCATTCACAAATTCTGCATTCAAATTTCAAGGAAACCATAAGTTAACACTTGACATGCTYAATATTATAGTTAAGGTTTTAATTTTTGATCGATAAGTTATATGAATTGAAAATATATATTTTTATAATTTAATCGAAATTTGTAAGTATTCTCTCGTACTTTTTACAGTGCGTTTAAATCCACTCCTATATAATACTATTATCGTCTAGAATCTATAGAACACCAAGTACTAACAAGACTATCGGAAATCAATATTTAGTAAAAACATCAAATTATCTGCAGGAGGAGAGTGCCTATAAACACACGGAGTTATTTAATTAACAAGTCGTATTTTCGTATTGGGATGATCTTTTTGTAAATAATTTCCTTAGTAACGATATTATATTACGAAGAAAAAAAAAGTGAACGCGCTATWTATTGTAATATGAATGGGTAGGTAGGTACCAGCTATGTGTGTTTATACACGTTTTGACCGGAAAATAATAATATAATATGTAATATACGCGGCGAGGGCGTGTCCGCCGTGGCCCCGAGCTATATGAGTCTCCAGCAGATACTTTGCTGACATTATTCCCACGAATACATGTATACTATTTATATGTATATAATATTGTAATATTATTTCGACCGACGGCGGCTAACGTTATTAAAAACGATAGATCACACGGTCGATATAAATTGTGTGTGAGTGTGTGAGTGTGTGTGTGTGTGTGAGAGTGTGTGTGTGTGTGTGTGTGTGTCTTCGTGCGCCAAAACGATATAGGCACGGATATACTTAATCCGACCACGATAAGCATTTAAAGACTAATGAGTCACACACATATATATATAAATATGTGTGCGAGTTTGCGCGCGTACTAAATACGAATCGGTATATTAATCATAAATCTTCGTATCGCGATCGAATGAATGAATGGATGTTATTATAGCCCATACAACTATAATAATATGATGTGTATGTGTGTGTGTGTGTGTTTGGATCGAAATGCACTTACGGTTTTTACGTGTACACATTGTATGTTGAATGGCCGAAGTAAACGACACAATTATAACTATACACGCACGCATTATTCGGCTATTAAAAATTTGTACCTCGAGGGGGTTCGTACGTGAAATACCGTTGTACGGCTAAGATGTATTTATTAATAATTTCAATATAATGCACAAGCGAAAAACAATTTGTGATTTGTATAATACGAGTGGCCGCAGCCACCACTTTGGGAGTGGGTTCGAGTAATCGTTCTGCAATACGGTATAGGCATGATGACGTGTTCAGAAAAAACACAATGCGTGCAACGGAGAGGGGTAAGTTGCATTTGCCTCACCTCACCTCCCCCCAACATATAACTTTGTTTATAGCCTAATGATTAATGGATGTTTAGTAAAAATATTCGATTTMATACGTATTATCCGTTGTTATAATATCAGCTACACAATATATTTTATTTTTATTTTTATTTTTATAAAATTCAATGAGAAAATCGTTGCAATCCGTAATCACGACGTAGTCAAGGTGTATTTATAAATAAACCGAATGACGCGATGTCTTCTCTACATCGTGTCCGTAATCTAATMACCATTGATATAGGTAAAATATTTATATTCGTGATACAATAACCAAGTAACTACTGTATTTGTATAGATCTTTGAGCTTTTTCCGCAATAAATAAATCGTGTTGTTTTAAGATTGCTATTGGATATTTATTTTAAAATTTCTAAATGTGTGACCCCGCCCCACAGGAAAATATTTCCCAGGGACGACACCGAAATATTCTATCGCAAACAAAAGTTRCTGTGTACATTATATTATACGTAATAGCATGTGAAAAATGACAGAGTTTAGGTTTTTTATTTTATTACCAGGTCATATATTAAATTGTTTCGAGGAGAACGATCAGTGGTTGTGGCTATATAGTCGTTAAATAATTACATCGTCATCAAACGCGTTCCGGGAAGTAAATTTGTGTCACCATATTTATATATAAAATATAATATGAAGAACAAGAGGTATTTGTTGTGAAATCGATATTTATGTAATATATATTTTTATTATCTTCTCGGGTGAGACGCACGCGTATGTGGTTTGTCCATATAATACACGTATATATTAAAATGGTTTTGAAAATAAATATCACTTTTATATTTCGTATCTGTGCGGTCGACGAGAAGAGTGAGCGTATGGTGGTAACGRCGGTGAAAAACGAGAGTGGACTAAGACTATAAAATATTCTTGTGGGTCCGCACATAGCGTATGATGGAGCTGACGCAACGGTACTAAATAGAATTAAATATGTGCATTGTGTTTGAACAATTTTAAATATTTCCGACCGAAGCGTAATTATATTGCTCTTTTGACCATATAAATAGTTCTACCGTTTCATTTATTCAGAATATATACCTATATATATATATATATATATATAGGAAGGTAATATTAAATCACTCGGGTCACGGTTGTATGGGAATACGAGAAAAAAAAATCGCGCGCACTAGAGGCCGATCCGACGGGCACCACTGGCATATTATATTAAATTATTATRCTGCCGCTGCAGAGTGCGGATGCTGCAGCGGTTGGTTCCGGGAATATCTCGGAGACCGAGATGAGAGTCAACTCGGTCCTTACAACAACTCCATTTGCACATAAAAGCAATTTGTAAATAATGGTGAATTAGTTAGGTCGGTCGCTGAGATGGCTGCCGTAGAGAAAGAGAGACACTGCAGGAGAAAAACGACAATATACCATAATAATATTATTATAGCCAGCTACTATATATTATATATATAGGTAGGTTATAAAATGCGCGCGCGAGGTTTCATTTTATTTATTTATATATATATATTTTATCCGCATTATTATTATTTTCAATCGGTTTGACATTTGTCTCACGTGTGTGTGTGCATAATACCTATATAATCGTATATACCATACACTAGATGTAGGCGAAGATGCCACATTCCGCGTCGACCTGACCGCACCACAACTGGACCATCGCCGATGAAAACCAACCGGTATATATACGTAAAAAGACGCTCGCAGTTGACATTTTATTATTATTAAATTGTTGTTTTTTTATATATATATATATATAACTCTTTCCCTACTCTTCTTTTCGGTCTGCCATATAGTGGTTACCTACATAATATAATCTCGATAATAATAATAATAATGAAAAAAAAAAATAGAAAGTCACATGGCCCGGCTCATGATATGATGATGATGATGATGATGATAATAATATTACATTGGTCAAATAAATCGTGTCACTAAATTAACTCGATCTTATAAAGCGTACATAGGTAGGTAGGTATAATGGTAATATATACATGTTCGTCCACGTGCAGAGCGAGTGGATATGCGCATTATTTAACGAACCGGCCACCGCCGGTATTATCTTCTATAATATAATATTGGGACGATTAGAAACAAATGTGGGAAGGAGAGAGACATTTATCCGGCGGGTATTGCGTAACAAACGTACAGTTATTTTATCCGAAATAATAATAATAATAATAATAATAATAATAATGTTTGTAAATTTTTTTATGCAATTATATTAGAACAATCATTACGTATGCACATGTTTGTGATTGGTATTCGGCATGGGCGTTCTCACGGGGGGGGGGTAGATCCCCCCCAAGGCTCTTTATTTTCTTGCATATTAGTGATACTCGTATATATTTTGTCTATTTTTGGTAACTCTTACGGCTTATCATGTAACAATTTCTTTCATCCCCCTCCATTGAAAAATTCTGAGAACGCCTTTGGTATTCGGCAAGCGGTTGTTTTTTTCGGTCGATTGAATTCGTGTAAGACATCTATCTATAATATTATTATTATTTTCCCCTTTCATGTCGTGAATGTCGGTTGACAACTCGCGCACACGCGACATTCCTTCTGTAACGCAAAATCCTCTAACCTAACAATCATATACGTGTTGGCACGTTGATAACGATTTTAGATCACGATAATGGATGATGATTGTTTTTATCGTGTCGAAATAATTTATTATCATCACTATACGGCACGCCGTCGGTTTGTATCTATAGTCTAGTGAGACTAGACTCTAGTCTAAGCTGTGTAATATAACAACGATGKACATCACGGACGATGTAACGCGTCTCACGATAAACGATGATATTATTATATTCCGAGTTAATGGAGAAAAAAGTTTTTAATTCATCATTATTTATCTACATAGCTGGGTAATACTACTTTTTGTCGTGTGATGTATAAACGTTTATTTACCAATAATAGTAATAATATGACAACAATACGGTGGAGATTACGCTTTCCTATTTTTATACATCAAATACTCAGAGAATATTATATTGGTTCGAAGAAGCGGCGCGATCTACAGAGAAGTATCTAGGTATTACTAATAATTATTTTATTTTTGAAAGTCAATACCAGCCGTCGTGGAGAAAGATTTATACTTGGATGTCACGACAATAAAACTTGTTCAATGTTCGCATTTGTATAGGCTCCGCACATTTGACATTGTTTAACTATTAACGTCTACCCGCGTAGAGCGTATATTATAATAAAAGTAATATTTCGTAWTATCATATTAGCATATTATCATTACGCGTGCGGTACTCACTTTGCAGCCTTCGCAAGTAAAAGCTCCGAAGTGGAAACCGGCGGCTGGTTCCCCGCAAACTTTGCACTGTTGGTTCATCTGTAAATAAAAAATAAAAACAAATTTTCTATTAAAACACGGTAGATAAATCATCTCCAAACAAGGAGGTGGTGCAGGTAGCTTATCCTCGAATGATGCGTACGTATTCTCGTATTATAATATATTATTGTATATTATGCTAAATAGATCTGGTCAAGGAAACCTACTAAAAATATATTGGGTTGGCATTAACATATTGTTGTTATTAATACTATACTGTGTATATAATATACCTACATACAGCACGATGGTTACGCGATAGCGTTTTGCTCGAATCACGGACTGCTATCACTCTTATTACTATAATATGTTATTATAAATAATAGGTATACTGTTTTTTTTCTGTCTCGATGAATATTGTATTTTACACACGGACACGTCATTATGGAGGACAATTAATGGTTTTCAATATTTCATATACCTAATATTATCTCTAGTAGGCACACGGCACGTAGTCCAACTACAGCCTGCAATACTTTTTTGTCACGCTAACTAATTGAGATTAATATTACACGTGCAGGTGGCAGTGCAGCAGGATACCTACACACAGCATCGGTCGAGTACTGTTTCTTCCGCGTAAGTACACCTACTTAATACCGAATCGATTTTCGCCGTTTCGCATAATATTATTATTGTAATACTATATTATACGCATTGGTTTGTGTTCAAGATGTGCGTGCGTGCGTGCGTGGATATTAATAGCGTTATTAATTATTATAATACGCGCTCAATTGCTCCGAGTCACGAAATAATTAGGTATATTATTATTTTTTGAACTGCTACTGGAGCTCCCATTACCCAACCTTCGGCTTAAACACCAATATCATGTTATGCCCGTTGTTCTTGTAAAAAACCGTATAGTCATCGTAGACGGAATCGACTGTACAGTGCGCGTCTATCCGTAGCCGATCAAATACCGTGTAGCTGTCATGGTTTTATTTTGCTATAGTGCCATCCGAGCTGTGATATTTATCCGATGATTTTTAGTTATAGTCGTTAGGCATTATCCGTGGGTACACCTAGCTATATCCTATTATATTATTATATATTAATATCGCCATATGATTTTGCGAGGTATTCGTTAACGAATACAACGAAGTTTTTACTGTTTATCATGTATGCGCGGTGCAGCAGCTGCAGTGTCGCCGGATGGGGACGGTGATGGTTAATTAAATTTTATGTGGCTGCGCGAATAAGCGACGACGGTGAAATATCTGAACGGCGGCATCTGTAGTGGGCGTAGGCGATATCGTGGGTCGTCGTCGTCTTCGTATTCTCTTGAGGTAATTTTTCTCGAAAGACACACCAGCCCACCCAGGACAACAGAGAGTGTTCTCACCGAGACGCTACCGGAACGGAAGACTCGCAGCGGACAGATATATAAATAATTGTGTTAAATTAACGCTCATCATCATATCGTCATCATCGATCGCTATCCCGCTGCAATGCGTTTATATAACACGGTAACGAAATCGGAGCATATATATATATATATATATATATGTATGTATGTATGTATATAACAGTATATAATATAATGTAAGTATATTATTATATATTGTAGGTACCGCGACATAACATATTATAATATTACCGTTGTTTTATAAATTCAGTTGCTCTTGGGTTCTATTGTACAATAATACACGCGTATAAGATCATTTACCGCGTGGACAGTGCATTTTTATGTATATTTATATTTTATATTATATTATTATATATTATTACACACGTTTGAAAAGATGACACCGGCCGCGACCGGTTTCCGTCCGTCGCACGAATTGGCCGGCTTCCTAATTCAGAAGCGGGCTTACGATATCATATACATATATAACATATATATATATATATATTTATTAAGTATATATTCGTACATAATACTTCACACACACACACACCATAGCCCGAATGTCGTCTTCGACATCACGACAATCTCTTGCGCGTCTCTGCAGCTCACACAACGTCAACAGCAGCGGTGGTCTCGGGGACACATCACATATATTCATATTTCATTTTTTTTTTTTTTTGTCATTATTAATCGCCCGGTACACAATACGTATTATATTATTATATCGCGTCGTCCAACGTTCATATCATATTAATATTCAAATAGTAGATCAATTATTTATCTGCCGCGTGTGCGTTTTTCTCTCGGAACGACGGACTACGCTATTTTTTACGTAACGTAAACGGCACCACCGTGCGCGCGGCCACACGCGAGTTACCTACTCAATGCACACGCATATGTGTAATTGTTAAATTAAATTATATTAATATTATAAAAATAAATATCTATGTGAATGYGATCACGGGCAGATTGGATCTGAGATAAAACCGTACAGCAGACATACCGGACCTAACCGATTTTTTAACTTTTCGTCCAACACAATAACAATATTAATGTATAATAATATACTCAAATTATTCCTATCAGGGTACTAGGACGCAACTTCAATCTGTTTTAAAATCAAGCAAAACAATATAGAATATTATACGTACCCAAATATTTATTCTAAAWATTATTCAACACCAAAATCCTATACGCATTTTTTTTTCTGTAAGATCACTGCACCAGAATGCACCATTCGGATTTCGGGGGTAAATCGTTCGTTTCTGCCCATTTATATGGCATTTTAAACATATTTAAATGGTTTCGATGACGTCAAATGAAACTGCAGCAGACGATTATTGATTATTTTTTTCGGCCAGAGCAATAATGTCTGTACAGTATATTATTATTTTAACCGATATATATATGTATATTTCAAGCTGCAGTTGTAATAAAACATAATATACCTAGACTAGTACTACACAGGTACCTAACCACTGTGCAGCAGTATATAAATTGATGATGGCCACGGAATGTATGTTATGAATGATTTTTGGCCAACGATCAGAGTCCGACCGTTGCACAWCGCCATAAAAACGAGATCAAGTTTGCGAGGACGGATGCTCTTCCTCTTGCTGCAAACAGTGGTTTTTGGCATTATCAGAACACACACGCGCGCGCGCGTGATTTGGCAACATACCAAACGGTTTTCTCGCACGGCAGCAGCTGCCGAAACTTAATCAAAGTCATCCGCCTAATCCTCCGGAACAATATATTAACTCGCTATTTCTCTCTCGGTCTTCCGTTTTTTTTTCACCGATGCACCGCGTCTTTTTGTCATTGACAAATTAACCGTAAATATATATACTTTATATACGACGAGAGTTGACCCTATATCCCGCGAGATCCTCGAAACTCTTTTGCCGTCCCCCATATACATATTATTATTATGAGCACCCGATCATCATTAATATTGTAGACGTGTTTTGCAAAACCACTTCAGTCGTCATCGTCGTCGTTTATATTCTCCATTCTCCTTCTTCTTTATATTATTTTTTTTTCGAGTGTGAAAGGGATGCGTGTCGCCCGTCCATTGTTCTCCGACGCGTATATGTATAAGGTAACACGGACCATATTATTATTATTATTATTGTTGTTGTGTGTATACAAAAAAATAAAAAAATTACGGTACTTGAATGTGCAAAAGAGCTACGCGGTACCTATAYTGCAGTACATAAACAATCTGTCACTGGCGGCGAGAAGAAAATACGAAGGGATATAAAGTGTCGTCGTCGTCGTCGGCCAGTCTCGGCTTTTATTATTATTAATAATATTATTATCCTAAGCGCCCGTGACCGGTGAGAACGTTATAATATTATCCTTGTGAACGGTATATAATAATAATAATAGTATAATACTTTGACATATTTTGCAGTGTCGTTGTTATCGCCTCGACAAAACCGTTATTTGCGTACACATATTATAAGATCTACGTGTTTGTTTTTTTTTCTATTTTTGTTTGTCCATTAAACACTCGAGCGTAATAGTTGTCCACATAATATGCACCTCCATACTTGTGAATATAATATTAGTATACTATATTATAGAGGTATAGAGTTCTTTACCGAGAGACRACCGCTCACACAATAATATAGAAAAAAATCGCCATCGTTGTTCTATACAGCTTTTGCAAACGATGACGGTCGGTGAAAAATATCAACCGAAAGCCGTCAACAAGCGCACACGCGCGTAACGTAAYATATATGTATTTGTAAGTAATAATATTATATTATCCATTATACTCTTCGTCATCGTGTTGTAAATTATTACATTTCCCAGAGAAAATAAAATTAGTACGTACCACGAACAAATTGATGATTGTTCATTTTTTTTGCCAAAGTAAAAAAGTAATTTGAGAATTGTTTTAATACATATTATATATATATATATATATTTTTTTTTATCAATTTTGTCAACTTATGTGTTATTTATTTCAAACACCTAAACGCGTACTATTCTGCAATACCGAGAACCTCACGCTCCTTAAAATCTAATTATGCTAGAATTGGCTATTACTCATTGTATTAATTTATATCGAGCGCATTTAAAAATATAAAAACATCAAACATGTATTGTTTATTATACTCTTAAGTCTGTGCAATGGCTGAATGTCCGTTAAACATAATTTGTTACGTACTCACATGAGTYTTGCGAGTGTGATTATATAACATAACTGCGGTGCATGCGACAGTCCAATGGCTACAGATATAATATATAGGGAAACATCAAACATTATATTTTTATGTGCATACACTGTTACAGACGTGATGGATCAATCATGCGATTTGATATTTTATATAAACAAACGAAATCCGAGATGACTAAGCGTTTAGCGCGACTGAATCGATTACATTGTGAGTTTTTAAGTTTCCGAGTAAAAAAATAACGGTGTGCAGTATACAATAATATAATAATATTATGCAGTAATGTCGTATTGTGACAGCGCATAGTCGTCTGTTCTGTCACTGCAGCAGTCGACGATCGTCAAAATCGATCTGTTCACATATGATGACGATGATCGATGATGAACGCACGACGTCGACGACGGTTTGGATCATTTAAACGTTTTGGGGAAAAAAAAATCCCTATTCGGATTATGCCTACCTAACCTATAATACCTATAATAGGTGTACCTATCATAAGCGTTTATACGCGCGATAAACGGTTTTAAAATCATGAAAAGGATATTTATACACATAATAATAACATATATAACGAGACCGATTATATTATTCAGAAGTRTATTATTCTTTTGCATCATTAGGCGGAGGGCACACAATAGCCGCGGAGCATTTAGATTTCCGTCAAAACGGCGGTAGCTCCGTTTATAAGAATAAGGACGTACATAAAAATATATATATCATACCTATAGCTATGTATACCGCGAAATGCCGCTCGGTGATTAATGATTTGATGTATTTTGTTCTCCTTTTTGAGGGTCGCTCCGAGACCGTCTACCGTGTCGCATTTAAATTAGACACCTCCAGATATAAATGGATAATATAACGTTTCAAAACATATTTAGGGTAAGTGCGCGCAAGATGTATACGCATTTGGTATACAATATATTATTTGATATTATTATATACACAATATTATAAACCTTATGTACATTATATAGCCTATCCTATATATGTATTATACGTATGTGCATCGGTACCACCGCAACTCGCAAGCACTTATATTATTATATATTACATATGCATCTATATATATATATATACAAATATATAGATCATATATATGCATGTAGAAAATGCTGCTGCCAACAACGACGACCGTCGGCGGCATCAGATAAACATCGGAACGGGCACATTATGTATTTAACACGACAAAAGGATCGTGTTTTTATTTATTTTTTTTTAACCATCATAGTCGTTGTTGACGTCAGGTAAAAAATATGAATAAGGAAAAAAATGAAAATTAATTTGAAGATTAAAATAAAAACATATTATAGTGCAATATATATGCCTATATACTCGCGTATACCGACTAAAATTGTTGCATGGTTTAGATTAGATAGATATAATTAAATTAATAGCCCTCGCGTATTATGTAGGTACACGTGCTAACAACGTTGTCGCTAATTCTCGTCTCTTGTTTTTGCGACTACAAATCACGAAACAAAAAAAATTGAACAAACAAATTTCCRACATTTTTTTTGTATTTTTATATATTTCGCGTGATTCAGAATCCACATGTACACTGTAGATGTACCTATACTATATATATATATATATATACACACTGTGTATGTATATATGAAGGGCGTCGGTTTAAGGCGCGCGGCGCTCCGGTCATTATAACGAGCCAGTGTTTCGTTTTTTATTTTTTTTTTTTTATGTAAAAGCTTCATTGTATAAGTTAGTATATGCACACATACATACATATATAAATATAATATAAATGACACAATATGTACCGAAAGCAAACTAGAGGACGTCCACGGGAAACAATGCCGTTCTGATGGTCTACATAAAACAAGCCAGTTAATGAAACTTGCCTATTGTGCCAACAGCCATATCAATGGAGCATTGTGACGTTATATTAGGTACTGATCGTATGCGGACCGTGCCGTTTATGCAAATCAGTGGTTTATTTTTTTCTAAACGGCTCGAAAATAACAAAATACAGCTTGTTTGTCAGATATGCCAAGTATAAGTAGGTACTGCACACACACTTACATATTTTACACTCAATATATTACCGATAATCTATATTATACAAGCATATTGTGCGCTGAGGAGGAATATTATGCATATTATACATTATCATATATATAGGTACTCTCGTTTATTTGTTTTTTTCCTTAACCGTGAGGAGTCCGTGACTATGTAATTTTCGTTCACTATTATATTGGGAAATTAAAATAAAAAACATATCTACATATTATGCATGTGCATCTATATAGATACGATGATGTACTTGGTAAAACTGGTTATTTTGCTCAGCTGATATCCGGGAAAACCGAATATTATTGCGATCGTTGTATATTATATTTGAATTAAGTTATGCAATTTTTTTTTTTGTTTCTTTCGTGATTTTTTTTTCACACACATTAGGTATTCGCTCATCGCGGATCATCATCAATGTGGGTCACCTTGAAACACACTACTTCAACTACTACTATTACGACTGCTGTTGTTGCTGCTGCTATATATATCCACTGACGGCACGGCAAAAGTGGGTGTGATAGTGTCGGGGTCTAATGGTCGGATATCGTGATGTCCATTAGCGAGTAATTGTGAAATATCCGGTATTCATTAGACTCGACTATTATTATTATTATTATTATTATTATTATTATTATTAGAATGTGTGTATACGCTACACATAAATTTTTTTCTACTCGTTTATATTTTGTAGTCAGCTGCTGCTCCTCTTTCGGTGGCAGAGCGAGATCTCTCTTCCGCGTCCGCGTGTGTCATCAAATGGACCGAGCGGTCGAAGATTAAAGAAGCATAATATGTAAAATACAAGCAACTAGATTCCCAAACGCAAATCGTATTAATACGAAACTACTATCGTGTGAATAATATATCCACTACACGTATGTCTGTATATATTATATTATAATAATAGTCACCACTACAGTAAGTCGATATTATAAAGCATATACTTATAATGCATAGCGATCTCGACAATTGTAACATGTTTAACAAACATGATTTTAATAAGAATTTTAACGAACTACTCATGCAACTCGTGCGAAATGAAAATTGACAAGTAAAATAAATAATTTTGATCATTATTTTTCTCGACTCATTTGATTAAGCTATTGCAACCTAAAACAACGATTTGCATATAATAATTATTCTAATGAGCGAATTAATTTCTAATTGATCGAAGCTGGCRCATAAGATTATTCAATCTTTGGAGATATAAAATAAKTTTCTACAATACAATAGCGAATAATATTAAGTAACTAAATTTAAGAATTGCAAATTAATTTATAATAAAGACGGTTGTTTGGTTTTATGTAACAATAACTTTTATAATTAAATAATTAATTGTGATTTAGTACTCAGTCAAAATATTAGTATAATAAACATTGAACCATGGGAACTACACTGTGCTGAACGTTATGCACACAACAACACTACATACACAACTGACAAGGTTTCAATTTAGAACACAATGTTATTTAAAAAAAATCAGTTACATAAATATAATACTCGCAGTTYTTTATAATTAACACATTATACGTTACATTATTATCATGATATTCATGGGCCTTTATTTAATATGGTAAATTTGTAGACGAATTACCTTAAAATTATACGTTATACATTATGAAGTAAGTAGGTATATATAATATAGACAATAATATTTTATAATATATAACAGCACCTATTTATATCATATATTTATAAATCTTTTAATTTACGATTTTTTTTTTTTTTGTAAAATTATACTTATAGGCATATATGAATATAGGTGTCTCTCATTGATAATTAATTATTTTACACGCAAGAATTTTTTTTCGCCTGAATAGTGGACAGTAATAATTATTTGTTTCAATTAGATTAATTAATAACTGTGAGACATATAACGGAGAAAGTTCATGAGAAACCTCACACGAAGCGTCGGACGCAGATTTTGGAATTTAGGGGACGGGACACATAATACTCTATAATTTAATAAATAATTAATTAATAATCGATGTGTACGTTATGTACAGGTAATACGTAAATACGTGTATAATATATATAAATATAATACTATGTATGTACTATATATTATATGTATAGGATTTGTGTTTTCATTTTAAACCGATTAATCGATGATCGAGCGTGGGCGTGTAAGAATATATATATTCTATATATATATATATATATCCACCGCCTAGACCGACTCATGGGTCGTGTTTGATACAAACGCAAAGCGGGTTTATAACTAAATTAATTAAAAAAAAAAAAATCCGATATTAATATAATCGTTATTATTGCCGCTATCGAGCCTATGAATCGATATATTGTTATTAGTCTATTACTTTCCGTTCATAGAAAAAAAAACACTTTACGCCCATTCCGTGTTCGCACGGAATTTTCGTGACCCATTCGCCCACATCAGATCACCCGGCGATTATTCACGTACATTTCCGATGAGTCCGTTCCAATCGTTGCAAAATAAGCCAGTTACAATAACAACAAAATATACATCGATAATTATGTTTATTATAAATTTTTTTTTTCAATATAGAAGATATTCTTAACACGCATGATTTGTAAGTACATACAATATGTATTATATACATTATTCATGTACCCGTAAAAGAAATTTTAACGTCAATACATAATAAAAACCCATATCTATAAATACCTACCTATTTAGTACCTATTTTAAAAATAGAAAAAAATTTATATCAAACTTAATATGACAAAAAAAACAAAATCTCTTTTAAAATAATGTATGTTTGTCATAATACCTATGAACCATAAAAATATGAAATATTTAAGTATTATTTTGAATGATCAAAGAGTAGAAAAAATGTATATGTGAAGTAATTAGTTTTATTGAAAACTGCAAAACCTACAAATCGGATTAAYATACTTGTTAAGGCGTTGAAGTCTCCCATAGCTTTTCAATTACCATAAATAATAATATAATAATAATTGTAAAGATAAATCATTTTATTACGACTGGAAAGTGTAGTTACCTACATGCAATTATTATAAATTGCTATATTATATGTATATAAAATATTGTGGGAGTTCACWTTAACYATTACAAATATTTAATGGAAAAAAACTGTTACTTAAGAAAATTTTTCATTARAAATTATACAATGAATTGTATTGAAAAATACTGTTTTACTTACGTTTAATTTTAAAACGATGTATAGGCGAGCAGCATATCCAATGGAAATCTGCCTATATCTATTCTTTTTTGTCGCGCGCGACTTTCTTCGGTGTCACCGTCTGGTCTTCATGTCGCAAATGCACAGAAAAAGATTTTAAGATCAAAAACAATCGTAACTTTTCGCCGAAAATTCACCAAAAAAATTTAAATAAAAAAGACCAAAACATACAATTTGCGAACGCGCAAAATTCAAACGACGAAATAAAAATGTAATTGTAGCAAAAATAATATTGGCGGCGGCGGCGTAGTGCGATCGAATTCGTTCGCGTGCAACAATATTATGATTTTATAAAATCGTTTTTTTTTTCGCAGCGGTAACGACGCTGTCACAGCGGCGCAACAACTAACAACAACGACGACGAGTGACGATTGACGACCACGACGGGCCACGCGATTCGTAGTRCGACGGAAAAACACGAACTGGTCGGGATCGCCTGCCGGCTTCTACTGGCCCGGGCCGCGGTCTCATTCCGGGGGGCCGCGACGCGCCCGCACCGGTTCCAAGGTGGGGGAAYCGGGCTGTCGTTGGGGCCGCGGTGGGAGCCGCGAGGGGCGTGCCCGAAACGCACCAATGACCGATCGGCCCCACCGCCCGGGACGTCGCACGAAACTCGCCCCTTTTTACTCCGCCACCGCTCGTCTACCGGACACATCCGCTCGGCGATTCACACCTGCTGAACGGTGTGCGCGCGCGTGCGCTTCCGAGATTTTCGTCTTCTGATTTTTTTTTTTTTATACCGTCTTTGATGAGCGCCGCGACGTTCTGTTTTTTCGTCATCTTATGATAAGTATTTCATATCATAATATTATTAATAATTATTGTAGTCCGCGAATCATAATAACTATAATATTATACACCWTTGACTCAAAGGCTTTGAGTATCAATAAAACCTCACCGGTTTTTAGGCAGAAAACTGTAAAAAAAATTTAMAAAACATTGAAAATCGTCAAATATTGTCGACSTTCGAAATACCGTCGTTATTATAAATGTACTAATAAGGTACCTACCACGACATAATATACCTAATATACCCATTTAACGGGTGTATTTAGGTTTACCCGCGGCTAATGGTTTACGATTTTCCCACGAATTTATCACCGGTCTAATTATTAGTACGTCAAGCCAAAACGCAAACGTGGCCGTAAAATTACCGTGTTTACTGCGGTATACCCCGTATATATGTGTATAATATGATATATACGCATAAGAAACCAATCAACACAAACCAATCGGTTTGCTTTGCATTTGTATCGGTTATACTTATAATATAGGTTTGTATTATACAGACATAATGCTACGTTAACGTGTGTATGTGTGCTTGCGCGTGCGCGCGCAGTTGGATTGATAATTATAGGTGTGTATACAAGTAATGTTTTTTTGCGTGTAGTCAATCGTGTACGAAAATATATCTATCTAGGTATAGGTATGTTGTGTATAAATTATAATAACATAATATGGATTTATATTATATTATTTTAACTTTGTTAGAAAATCATTATTATAATTTTTTATTGACTACGCATGTGGCATAATATATATTTTTAGAACATAATATTTTAAAATTAATAATATGTAGATGATGATCTATGATGAATAATAATAATGTTATGCGTATTAATAAGTATTTGGTTTACCCGCGAAGGTTGCAGAGATCAAATTAAACATATCTAAAAATACATATATAGTAAATAGTACTTAATAATAAATATTTATTCAATCACATAGAAACGATAATTATAATTATGATTTAAGTATCAGTATAATATCTGTCGTAAAATATTACTTGTAAGTTGTAGGCAGGACGTATAATAGCCGTATGGGTACTTTATCTCATTCTATATGACACATTATAATAACATAGTGATAGATTTCCTTTGGTGTAGGCGCGGTCAGTGTGGAGGTGTAAGTAATAATAGATTATTCACCAACATTATTGTGTTGAATAAGTACGTAATAATGATAWTATTTAAAAACACCAAAATGGTACGATTGATTTGTAGTTAATTATAATATTTCAATCTAGTTCTTGCTGTCGACATTTGAAACCATTCATGAACTATGTGTAAAATAAAAAATATTTCATTATATTATATT